CCATTGAATTGATCCTTAACTTTACGAAGGTAAACCTTGGCAGTTTGGCAGGCTAAAATAGCACCTGTTGTGCTATCAATGATGGGGCCCTTAATGACCATGAGACACGATGTGATGTCCCACTTATCTTTCCAAATGTCATATTTATACTTTTTAAAGTATCATAATTCTTATCTCCTTACGTACCTTAGGAGGATCTTTATGGAGAGCATAATCAACATATAGTAGAGTACTAGAGTTACTGTTATCTCAATCTTTTCCTTCCATGAAGCATATTTGCTTCCATTAAGTAGTTCGATGTTGTTAATTATACTGGCAGCTTGAGAGGCATTATAAGCTACATAAAAAAGAAGTTATTTAGTACTCCATCCGTTCTAAATTATAAGTCGCTTTTGACTTTTTTTGTATATCTATTTTACTATTTATCTAGATATAACATATGGCTAGATACGTAGCAAGATGGATGTACAAAAAAATTAAAGTGACTTATAATTTAGAACGGAGGGAATATGCATCATTGTAATTTTTTCATTGATCAAAAATCAACATCAGCTTTGCCTAGAAACGAATAGGAACAATAACTTTTTGTTTGTGAACAGGTATTCATTAATCAGCTTTGGCCAAAATAATAAATACAAGCCATTAAATTCCGTGTATAAATTTCTTTTATTAATCTAGTCCATATAAGCTTTGGTCAAGCCTCTAGTCTATCTGGTTAGAGCTCCTCAACAGTACTCCATAGGTCCTGAGTTCGACTCCCCGTGGGAGCGAATTTCGGGTTGTGGTTAAAAAATCCCATCGCATGTCCCATGGCCAAAGCTCTAGGTGACAGGTCAAAAGGCTCGGCCCGGTTGTCACAGGGCAACGGTGCCCCTGTGTCAGGGTGGGGCAGGGGTTCGGAGGTTTTCTTGGCCTGTGTGAGAAGGTCTTCTTCTATCACAACAATGCTCGGGGTGGTCTTACCCCTGCAGTTGAAGTTTTTTTTCCATAAATGAACAAGACCAATAAAAATTTTGTGGTCCAATATTCATCAATTAGCTTTAGCCGAATGACAAATATAAGGCACACTTATAAGAGAATTTATGATAAACTTCATTAGCAGCGGCAACAAAATTATTATATAAGTCTAAAACATATAAAAGTGGCTTAAATAATAGCTCAAACGTAAGCCAGCAGTTAATATGAAGAAGTCCATCCATGGGTTCTAGACCAGTAAAAATTAGGACTTCAATCAAGTCATAGTAAAAAGTTGTACTTAGAAAAAACAATCATTTTAGCCCACAACTTTGCAGCCCAACATATTTACATATAATAAAGGGGAAATTCTTAATTATTTTTTCACTGGCCCGAAAGAAAACTCCTGAGCCAGGCCAACTTCATTGGGCCCAAAAAACCTCGTGAGCCCGTTTAAGCGCCATGCCCACCCACCTGGGCCTAAAGTCCCCCCAACCTGGGCCTAGGTGAGAAAGAGTAGGCCCCGTGCCAGCCTGCTCGGCCCAAGCCGTTGCCGAGAACTGCACGCACAGCTGATGGACGATTCGACGGCCGAAGAGGCTCCTGCACAGCACAGATCAGAACTGTGTTTGGCCGCTGATCAAGATTTGATTTATTTGATTCACTTCTCCTGTATTTCAGGCATCTCTTGTACTATCAATTAGTACAAGTAAATTGTCACTTTTGTGATTTGTTATTTATCTTTGTGTCATATATCAAATGTTTGTCCTCGTCTAACTATAAAAATAATTGTAAATTGTTAAATTGTCTTTGCGCCAACACATATCAGATTTTGTCAGGTTTATGGTTTTGTCTAATGGGTTTTTTTTATTCTCGGAATTAAAAATTGCAGCTTGTGTCTACAGAAATTACAACGAATTAAAACTGCAATTCTAGTATAAAATATATACAATCACCAACGTCTGAAAAAAAAAATAAAATTCAGACACCTAAAATTTAGCAAATCCCTGCTTGATTTGATTTGAAGACGGGGAAGTACCAAACATCTCACAAGCGTGTTGGACGACTTTGTGCCCTGTTGTGGGCACGAGCACTGAGCACATATATGGAGTAGTACGTACGTACCTGTACTATATATTCCCCCCAGGTGATGGTGATGATACATACTTCCATCCTTTTCATGGCGCGTGAAGGAAGGAAAGCACAAGCACGGGTACATGTGCTAGCTGCTGCATCATCAACAACATACAGCTAGCCAGCGAGGAGTATATACATACATCCTGGTTCCTGGAAGTGAAATGAATCTGCACGCAGGCAGTCCGGCGGTTACACCGGCCGGGTAATAACAGCCAGCTGGCTTTTACCCTGCAGGCTGCAGGGTTTGTAGTACGAGCACGTTCTGTGCCAGTTGATGTTGTATGTCCGCTAGCTACTGTAGACGATTCTAGCCACACGCGCGGCATCTCTAGAAGTACCGTCGGTCTTATCCTTCCCATCGTTATCCGCCTCTGTCCCTTTCCCTTCCAATGTAGCTCTATCGCTCTCCTCCATGATCCACGCGTGCCTGCTCACCTACGAGATGGCTCCCGTGCCTTCTCTTCCTATGCTCCATGCCCATATGCTCCGCCAACTTCTGCTCGGCTGCAGGACGGTGCGACGGCCGGCGTGCCTTCTTCCTCTGGTCTCTCCTGGCTGCGGGACGACGGGCGTGCCTTCTTTCTCTGTTCCCCTGCCTGCCTCCTCCCCCTGCAGCTCCGGCTAGCACTTCTCTGCTGCGGTGGATTGCTAGTTTATATAGCATCTGTGAGCTATGTTGACACTTATACATGCTACTATTACAAGTTTTACATTGTAGGGTGCAATGTAATTTGTTTAGACTGTAAGTGTAATTTCTTTGATGTACCAGTGTAAATTGGTACTTTATTATATAGATAGCTGATTTGCGCTATCTGGTATGTTATCTGATATTTTTATTTTTTGTGTATTTGAATGTCATTTTTTGTCTCTATTTGGATTTATTCCAATTTGCTTTTCATAGAAATAATCTGGATATTTTTCTGCTATTTTTATTTGCTATTTTTACGTTTTATTTGTTTTTCCATTTGAATTTCTTCCAATTTGCCTCTCATAGAAATAATCTGTTAATTTGTTTTATATTTGCTCCCTTAGACATGGATCTTGTTGTTTGGAAATCGAGTGTTCCATATCATAGAAAAACTCGATTCTGGTTTGTTTGGTAAATCGAGTGTTTTATTTGTTTTTCACACTCGGGTGTTAGAGTGTGTAAAACACTTAAAGTAGACAAGCTTGTCCAAATTAGCCCATCAAATAGGCACCTAATAAATAGCTAAATTCTTTCCAAACAAGAATCAACCCTTCTCCGCGGCGGTGGTCGAGTCGGCGAGCAACGCCTGGTCTGAGGCGAGTAGGGGCGACCAGATTAGCTCAATAGTTGGTGTCGAAGGCGGTGGGCGTGACGGGGTCCATGGGCACTGCCGGGTCACCGCTGCTCCCCTGCGCGTGTGGGCACTGCTACACGTTGCGTGTCACGGGTGAGGCCCGCTGGAGCGGACAGGTCCACTGACTGCACGTCGGCCGGGGGCGGCTCCGCCGCAGGGCTGGGCAATCTGCTCGAACTCACCCTTGGCAAGGACCACCATGGCCGAGGAGTGAATGAAGCAGAGGCAAGCATAGGGAAGGGAAGGTCATCTCATCTGTGCACAGAGTGTGAGAACGAGAGCAAGTGTCGCTCTCCTCTAGATTCCCCGCAGGCAAGCTCCGAGATGTGGGGCGGGGTCTGGAGGCAGCGGGTGGATCGATGTGGTGGCACGGGCGAGATATGGCGGTGGGATGGAGGTGCTGACGGTGGGTTGGATGGAGGTGGACGAAGCTGCGGGCATAGGTGTGGCGGACGAGGAGGAAGACCGCGTGGGTGGACATGCACCATGTTCGTTTGGTTTATAAGCCATATTTTTTCAGTCAATGAACAGTATTTTTCTCTCACAACAAATCAGTCAATAATACTTTCAGCCATGACTTATCAGCCAAACGAACATGGCACTTTTTTTTGCGCTTTTAGCCTAAAATAGCCGGGTTTCTCAGCAGTGAGTAGTTGGTGGCTTGGCTAAAAACTAGCTTATCCAACTCTTTGTTTGGATGGGCTAATTTTTAGCTGATTAATGATTAGCTGTGGTATCGAAGCGGGCCTTAAATAAGACCTAGTATATCATATAGCCTGGGTCATGATTTATAGCAAGGGATTTGCTATACCCCTGGTAGAACTAAGGGCTGCTAGCTTTCCTGAGTGAAGAACTAGCCCATCGCATGGTGAGACATTAAGCTAATCGGAGACAGATGGAACTAAGAAAATAAAAATTTTGATCCTCGCAATAGATGTGAGAGAAAGCGACTGCCACCGCCGTAAAGAATGGGCATCGAACACGCCCAATACCTCGAATCCTCGATGGTCTGCAATGGGCCCTGTTCTGATAAGTCAGGATAAAAAATACTGTTCGCTACGCAACTTAACTCCACAGATGAATCGAACGCAACAAAAAAGAAAAGAAAAAAGCAAAGTTGCATGTGTCCGCGCACACGATAGAGGAGCTCGTGACACCCACACGACTGAACAGCACAAAAGCAGCTGACGCTGCTACAGTGGTACACATGGTAAATAACGCGCGGTGACCGGAGAGCAGTAAGAAACAAATTGCCACATCGCCCGCGCGGGAGCGCGTGCTTCGTGTCAGCAACTCGATCAGTACAACGGGCAGGTGAGGCGGGGTTTACGGCGTATAGCCGTTGGGCGCTTGGCGCCGACAGCCCAAAGATCACTAACGTCGAGGTCCGACGGCTAACCGTGCGCGAGCTGCGCGACGGCGAGCTCCAGCGCGTGCAGGCCCAAGCCATCCCGGCCCATCGCATGCCGGAGACACTCGAAGCACCTCGTTGAGACAGCCCGGAACGTCGCCATCCTGAAAATAAAACGGGCGGAACACGTTCCTTCCATGCCTCGCAATAGATGACGTTGAGTCACCTGGGATCCCCTAGGCACGGAGAGCCTGCCGACGACGCAGTCCTGGCGGCCGCGTGGAGGAGCAGCGGGATGGCGGGTGCATCGAACACTCCTTGGCGACGCACCTGAGGAAGGGAGCTCCGCTGAGGTCCGACTCGATGGTCTGCAATGGGCACCACGTCTGCAATGCTGGACGCCGTAGTTTTCATGTTTCGTCTTTCATCGCCCATGATGGACGTACCGTTCGTCCCACCAAACAACCTGCGTGCAACGTCCACAGATCCGAATCGCACGCAACAAAAAAGTTTATTTCGAAAAGGGTCGGAGATGGATGCATACGCACGTACCAGGATTGCATGTGTTGCGTCGCACAAGATAGAGGCATGCCGGTCATCGACCGTCACAGCGATGGGCTGAACAGCACAAAATTTCGTCGACAATGTCGGCCTCGACGTCCGTGCTCCTGCCCTCTGTATGTGGTCGTCGATGATCTTGTCGATGAACCTGTCAAACGCCCTGCGCGTGACCGGAGGCGGCAGTATCCAGGCGAGCCACAAAGTCGCCATGTTGAACGCGCTAATGTTCCGGGAGAACTCTTCGAGAACGCCGATGTACTCGCCAAGGCTAATGTTCAAGCTGGTGCCAAAGGCGGCGCGGAAGATGACGTTCGTGCTCAGGCTGAGGACCAGCTCGCCCAGGTTGACCGTCTGGCCGCTGCGCCGCGCGACGGCGCGCACGAGCGCCGCGGACTCGTCGCGCACGGCGAGCCACGTCTCGGCGCGGCGCCGGCTGAAGAGCTTCGTGACCGAGAGCTTGCGCGCCTGGCGCCAGAAGGGCCCGTACTGCGCGAACGCCATGTCGGCGTGGCCGTCGGTGAGGTACGCGATCGCGGTGGTGGCCGGTCGGTTCGCGAAGGCGGCGTCCTGCGCCTGCAGCACCTCGCGCGCGTACTCCACTGTGGACACCACGAACACGTGCCGCCGGCCGACGCTGAGGTGCAGCAGCCCGCCGTACCGCTCGGCCAGCACCGCCAGGCCTCGGTGTGTCAGCTGACCCATCAACATCATGTTGCCGATGATTGGGAGAGGCTTGGGGCCAGGCGGCAGCGGGAGCTTGCTCCTTTGCCGCAGCTGCAAGAGCACCATTACTAGCGAAGCTACGAACACCCAGCTCACCAGATCATTGGGCCACTCCATGCTGATCTTGGCCATGGCAGCCATAGGTGTGTGAGTTTAAGCTAGCTAGGTTGCGTTGATATAGAGTTTGGTATAAGGAGCAGACTCGGGATAGAGAACCAATGGCCCTGATCGATCGGCTGCAGTCATGGACTCACGGTGGTACAGCTGCAGCTGAATCTAAACTGTTTAGCACTGCATGGCTGCAGCAGGGTAGTACTGCCTTTGGCTGTTGCCTGATGACTGTGATCCCACGAGGGAAATGTGGTGCTGTGGTCTGGTCACAGCCTTATAATTATTGGTCTTATTTTTTTCTTAGCCACCCTCAATAGAATGAGATACTTATTAGATCTAAGACAACTTTTCCAATGATATTAACTTTAGCCCATAGATCATAATACGAATAACCCCACATGATCTTGGAGTCCGTGCATAAAACTAACTCTTGATAAAAAAAAAGCTTTTGCTCTCTCTTATGCTAAAATATGAAATATATACTTAGAAATAGCTCACAAGTTACTATCGGAGGAGATAGCCCTTAGATCAACTCATTAACAACACTTTAGCCTTGGATTTTAAAAACATTTCTCCTATATTTTCACGCAACAAACTTGTATCATCAACTAGTACAACTAAATTGTTACTCTTGTGATTTGTCTTTGAATCATAGTATATTAAATTTTTTCCTTGTCTGTCTATAGAAATAATTATAAATTGTTAATTGTCTTTGTGCCAATACAAATCAAATTTTGTCGGGTTTGTAGTTTTGTCTGACAGACTTTTCATTCTTAGTACCGAAAATTGCAGTTTGCGCCTACAAAAATTACAATGAACAGAATCTGTAATTTTACTATCAAATATATGCAACAACCGTTGTCTAGAAAAAAGAAAACTAAAATTCAGGCACTTGACTTTTAGCAAGTCCCTTTTAAAAATCCATTGCTGTCAAGTGACAGCATCAAAATAGTTTGTCTCCACCTGTTTCACGTTGCTCTGTTACGACCCTCTTGGACTTAACTAAGGAGAAACTTGAGCTTAGGAGAAACGAGTAAGGAGAAAAGGGGCACATATAGGATTTTTACACCGGATAATCCAGTGTTTATCGAACAATAAATGGAGCGGAATCTTTTCTAGAGATTTTGATTTGGCACCACTAGCAATATCTTAAGTTCGGTGTTGGTATATTTATTGAACACAGATAAATCCACAAGCGTATGGATACCGCTGTAGTTTTTACCTAAAAATATTTCAAGTATCGTATCCACAGAGAAACGTGTGAGAGTAACTACATCTAACTTAGCCCGAGTAGCAGCAAGACTTAAGATAATAGGAGTATAGAGGAGATCACAAAGGTCTTCTAGTTCTAACTTCGGTAAGCTATGTCTTCTATTGTTCAACTGGAGATATTACTAAGGGAAACACAAGTAGAGTATGCTGCTAGGCCTACAAACGGGAGGTGGACTACAAAGGATTCAACAAGGTTATAAGAGTCACCCTCGTGAGCTATCCCCGATCCGGAATATAGGATACATCCACAAGTAACCCGGTCTAAGCACCATGCTTACACCTACAATTATTACTTTAACCTAGAGCGTTCTACAGATTAAAGCACTCAAAGAGTTATGAACCTGATGAACAATATAAACACGATGCTTACTTGAATTAGAAGTCGATTACCAGAGAAACCTCAGAAGCAAGCTCAAGTAGAACTTGATTTCGCCAAGGTACAAGCCGTAGAGAGAGCACCGACAGACCGACACTTCCTCCAAACTCTTCCCTCACACTCTATCTCACTGTTATTTACAAGACTAGATCCTATGGAGGACTAATCTTCTCTTGATAGCTGGCTCTGATCCGGACGAGAAGAATATGAATTAGGGTTTCAGGATGGCTCCAGGAGAGGGGGGTAGGGGCTGCTATATATAGGCCGAGGTGGAGTAGGGGGCAAGGAATCGCCACGTCATCGATCCGTGTTAACTCCCTCGATCACCATTAGATAAACTGACCTAAAACCGACTTAAAATCAACGGTGTAGATCTTAGGAACGAGTATGAGGCAGCGGAGGGCGAGCGTGCTATGTGGCAAGCTGGTCGGCCTATGGGCTGGGCCAGCCGGCCCATTTTCATGGTTGTTTGGCCCAAGCTTCGACGTAGTGTCTTCTAGAGTTGTCTTTTGCAGTTTTCGCGGGTTGAATCACTTGTTGTCGTCGGTTGGCTTGTTTGGAGTGTATGACAGTGGTCCCGTAAACTGTTTTCTGGATAAATCCTCCTGTAGTCATGAAATCACCAAAGCTCGTGTAATTCATTAGTTTAAACCCCTATACTTATGTTTGGTGATGGAATTAAATATAAATATAGATTATGTTGACGGTTTATAATTGGTGTTAGTGACCGTCAGCATTCAGTGTCAAGGGTATCAACATTTGATGGAAACCTTGTAACTTAGCTAGTCAATAGCAAGTGGGTTTGTTGATCCTGTGTCATTAAAGTAGGCTGATTTCATAAATTAAAAAAATGAACCTGCAGTGCACATGAACTCGGACTTTGGATCTCAAGCATGTTATAACAAGCGAGATCTGCTTATGTCTTTTTTTATCCTCATCCTTTTTTTCTAATATATCTCACACGAGGATGACGCATAATCGTTCAGCAATATTTGTGCAGTACTGCATGAGACACAAAATCCCCTCTTGGTTTAGTTGGAAGAACAAGAAGTGGCACGTTGCCACAAAAGTTCGTGAACCACTGCTACCTAATTAATTAACTAAATCCTCGCAAGTTTGTTGGATATTTAACTTCATTATCTTTTCATAATTTTTGAGACAAAGCAATCCCAAGTTTGGAGCCGATGGTTTGGATCCCAGTAATACATTACCAAACCGACACACTGTGAAAAAGGTCAATACCAGCAGGATACTGCAATTTTTTTTTCCAAAACCTCTAATGTTTTCTTGCATGATGTGAACAGTAAAAGCTGTAGTAAGCATTGGTAAACAGCGAATAGTGTATGGCACATGCATAAACAGTGTTTGTTACAAAGTTAAAAACAGTGTTTGCTACAGCGGAAGAGGTAGCGGGAGGCCTCCAATTTATTCAGGGAGTAATAATATATTATTTGGATGAGTAGGTCAGAAGAAATGACGAATATGCCCGAGGATCTCTGGAGATTGAAGGCATAGATGCACAAACAAGGCGTTGTTACAGATTCTTGAGTCTTGACACAAAGATGAATGATGCGTCAAACACAGAACATGCACTCAAGAGTGTGAGTCGCTGCTAAAAGACGATTGTCAGACATTCTTTTTTTTCACAAGGGTCTAAAAAACCCTAGGTGGGCTAGCAGTCGAGAACCACCTCTCTGAAAACACAGAACATGCACTCAAGAGTGTGAGTCGCTGCTAAAACACGATTGTCAGACATTCTTTTTTTCACAGGGTAAAGTTCACTTTAGGACCTCCAACTATCATAAAAAACCCTACCGGATCCAACTATGGCCTCCAACTCAACTTCAAAAAAAAGTTCACTTTAGGACCTGGCCGGGCTATGGCACTAGTCGAGAACCACCTCTTTGAAAACTTATTTTCTAAGAAATAATATATCAGTTTTGATCGCCAGAGCATGTCAAATTTTATTTCAGAAAAAATTTCTATGTGACTTTTGTTATTACTATTTTTATTATTATGTAAAACTCTTTTTTAGAAATAGAATATATAAGTTTGACCTCCAATAATTCAAAACTTGTTTTGTAGAAATAGCTAATGCGAAATATTTCTCGCAATAAATCAAAATATCCTATTCGACATGCTATCCCATGAGCCTCGGTAGGTAAATTTGGCTAGCAGCTAGCGCCATGTTTGCATTGCTCCAAATTACATTCCTTTCTCTTGGAGATATAGCTAGTCTGTTGGAATATATTGGATTATGGAGAAAGAATTTTTATGAAGTGGATAGCTAAATGAAGATATGGAACATAAAATTTAGAATGTCTCGTTGAGATGCTCTAAGTGGGCCGCCATCTCACCCGCCTCTGAAAAATTGATTTCATATGGCTTATGTTGCAAGCCTCTAAAAATAGATCAATTCTAAAAAGAAAGGCCATTTAAAACTTCTAGAACACTACTAGATTCAACAAGTTTACCTAAGGTTTATAATTCCATGGAAAGGCTAAAAAACTTAAGGAAACTGTGTCTCTAGGAAAGTTGGTTGGGAAATCCCCCAGGTGATAGGATCAAGGAGCCGACTAGAGGGGGTGAACAGTCATTTCTAAAACTTAATCGCACCAGCTAACCGAAATAAATGCAAAATTAAACTAATTGGTCTAGCCTCGACTATACCCCTCTATCTATGTTCACAATTACAAAGATCCTAGATAAGCAACTAAGGTGCCAAGCTAGAGAGAGCTCACCTACACAAGTCTAGTTGGCAAGATCACACAAATCTATACAACTAGTACAACAAAGCACATCGAAGAGCTCCTACACATATTAAGCAAAGTGCACAAAGCCAAAGCACACTAGCACTACTCAACTAGCAAAGCTACACAGGCCAAACTAGAGAGCTAAACAACTTAGCTACACAAGCTAAGCAAGGCTACTAAGCTACACAAGCTTACTAGCACTAGAGAGCAACTACTTTGCTACACAAGCAAACTAGCTATAAAAGAACAACACTAAACACTACACAAGTATGAACAAGTGTTGACACAATGATTTTTATCCTGTGGTTTAGTGGTTTACCAACCACTTAATCCCCGTTGAGGCAAGCCCAAGGTTGCCACCGATCCTCTTGCTAGTGGTGGCCCGCAACCACACACTCTCTCCACACAAGGAGTGCTCCACGTGAGCTCTAGCACTTTGATCCGGTCGGACCACTTGGCGCTCTTTGCACCTCGCTCTACTAGTGTTGCTCTTCACGTCTCCCGTAGGGTGAGCACGGTTGAAAGTCCTATTTAGTTTTGGCTAATTGATGAAACCTATTGGACTAACCCTTTGTCTAAGTGTGAAGATAAGTAAGAGTGGTCTAAGCCAAGTCGTGGAG